AATTTTTTTTGCCTTTATCTTACTCTTTTTTTTTTTTTTTAAAGGTTGAACCCCAACCTTAAGGGTCTCCCATCGCCCCGCCCCCTGGAGCATCGTGAGAGAGGTTAATCGTGGGATATGTCCCAACAGGTCAGGGAACAAGAGCTGTCTGTACACTGGTGCCACAAAGAGTCACAATCCATGTTTCAAGAATTGAACCCTCACATTGCGACTGTCAGCAAGATTGAGTATATATCACCCTTGTCCTTTGCACCACAGAGATGTGCCTCGGAGTTCTACCCATGATTAAGGCTTCTCTCTTACCACTTGAGCTAAATTTCGGTGTCGACATTATCTAAATTTTAGTGATTTTATGTTTAATTTTATATATGTTTATATTTTATGCCAATTGAAATTAAACATTGATTCCACCTTGTCCAAGTAAAATATTTTTTGATGCTCTCATTTCATTTGTCCAAGTCAAAATTTCCTTTTGATTCCCCAAATTTAGTTGCGGAAAATTGTATGCTTGAGAAATTATTTTTTCATATAAAATGTAAAAGTTGGTAAATAAGAAAGCGACAATAAAAAGTAAAAATCGATAAATAAAAAAGTGATCCCAATTGAAAAAGAGCAAATAGAGAAAAAGGGAATACCATATTATAATTAAATAACCTATTGATTACGATTGGATTTTGATAACAATGATGAGTTATTTGTAATGTATGTTAGTAATCGTTGCATAGAAATGATATGATCATCTAAGTGAATAAAATGGGCAAAGAGTAAATATGTCTTTTTATTAAAATAGATATATTTTTAATGGTTATGCTATATTTACATCTCCACTTACAGATTGATATACATATACATGACGTGATGAGATATGATTGATCAAAATTTCTTCAATCAAATAAAAATATAAAAAAAAAATTCTCCACTCTCTTCTTGACATCTCATCTATTTATAAAATTTTCTGTGATTCCTTATATACAAGTAACATATTTTACTTTTAATGGATGATTACCATTGAAAATGACTTTTTGCACTCAAAAAAAGCAAAAGGTTGAGGGTCAATGCCAATAATCGAATGTTAGGGACCATTTGTGGACAAGGCCATAAGTTAGGGACAATTTGTACCAATTTCCCACAAAATAATTATTTCCATCACTTGGATAGGATTAGGATAATTTGATTGAAGCAAATCTTCAATCCTTGACAAATATTCATGGGACCATAATTTCTTATTCTTATCTGTTGGGGCCCAATGTTGATGGGCCCAATTTTATTTCAGGTGGTCCCCAGCCCAAAATAATTAATTCGTTTATATTTTTATATAGAATGATTCCCAAACAATTTATATAATATTGCTCCCAA